GCTCTTCCTCTCGTTGGTCACTTGCCCTTGATGGCTAAGTACGGCCCCGACGTTTTCTCCCTCCTCGCCAAGCACTATGGCCCTATCTTCAGGTATATATACGTGTGTATATATGTATATATGTATATTCATGATATGTACGAGGATGTTTCAGTTGAGCTTCCAATGGAATGGGATAGTTGTGTTCTTGAGTTGAAACTGAAAATATGAGTTACCACCAGTTAATATTACTTTAATGTACGTATGGTTATTGCTTTCATTCATTCGCATATATAAATATAAAATAAAATAAAAATAATTACAGATTTCAGATGGGGAGGCAGCCGCTGATAATAGTGGCAGATGCAGAGTTATGCAGAGAAGTGGGAGTAAAGAAGTTCAAAGACATTCCAAACAGGAGCATTCCTTCTCCAATCTCAGCTTCTCCGCTCCATCAGAAGGGTCTCTTCTTCACCAGGTAATGTCCTCCTCCTACTCTCTCTCTCTCTCTGATTCTTCGGACATGGCTCTTTTGGTCTGTTACAAAGATGTCTGAAACACTCTGCAGGGACAAGAGATGGACCACGATGAGGAACGCGATCCAGTCGCTCTACCAGCCATCCCATTTGGCCAGTCTCGTGCCCATGATGCACAGGTTCATCAGCTCTGCAACCAAGAATCTTGATTCGGATTCAGGAGATGTGGTTTTCTCCAATCTCTCCCTCAAACTCGCCACAGATATCATCGGGCAAGCGGCTTTTGGCGTTAACTTCGGTCTCTCAGAGGGAAAACCCGTCAAAGATTCATCAGATGGCGGCGACGATGAGGTTACAGATTTCATAAACCAGCACGTGTACTCCACGACACAGCTCAAGATGGATCTGTCTGGATCGTTTTCTATAGTGTTGGGGTTACTGGTACCGATTCTTCAGGAGCCTTTCAGACAGATTCTGAAGAGGATTCCAGGAACAATGGACTGGCGAGTCGAGAGAACTAACAGGAGATTGAGTGGAAGACTCGATGAGATCGTTGCCAAAAGGGCGAAAGAGAAAGAGAGAGATTCAAAGGACGTTTTGTCTCTGATACTGAAAGCGAGAGAATCCAAGACAGTTGCCAAGAATGTCTTCACGCCAGATTATATCAGCGGAGTGACATATGAGCATCTTCTTGCCGGTTCTTCAACGACAGCTTTCACCTTGTCTTCGGTTTTGTACTTAGTTTCAGGTCATCAAGAGGTGGAGAAACGTCTGGTTCAGGAGATCGATGGGTTTGGGCCCCGGGATCAGATCCCGACCGCCTATGACTTGCAACACAAGTTTCCCTATCTCGATCAGGTGGCGGATCCATTTCAACCCGAGAATTTCGGCTTTCTCAGATTGTTGATGGGTGTTTTTCTATGCTTTCAGGTCATCAAGGAGGCTATGAGATTCTACATGGTCTCTCCCTTGGTTGCTAGGGAAACCTCAAAAGAGGTGGAGATTGGAGGTTACTTGCTACCCAAGGTAACAGTACCGTCAAAAGTTGGAATAGTTTAAGAACATCAGTAACGAGCATTGATCTGCAAAGTCCGCTTCTCGTTCAGCGGTCAAGACCCGAAAGACAACTAAAGATTTGGTCTTTTGTGGTTTAGGGAACATGGGTATGGTTAGCGCTTGGTGTTCTTGCAAAAGACCTTATGAACTTTCCGGAACCAGAGAAGTTCCGGCCGGAGAGATTCGATCCGAACGCGGAAGAGGAGAAACGACGACATCCTTATGCCTTCATCCCCTTCGGTCTCGGCCCGAGGGCCTGCATCGGCCAGAGATTTGCCCTGCAAGAGATCAAACTCGCGTTGGTGCATTTGTACAGGAACTATGTTTTCAGACATTCTCCGGATATGGAGAAGCCTCTGCAGCTTGACTATGGTGTGATCCTCAGTTTCAAGAACGACGTCAAGCTTAGAGCAGTAAAGAGATTTTGATTCTTGTAACATATGCTAAATTCTCCGATGATGTACACTGAGTTTAAGGCTGCGGCTAAAGAAGATGAAATAAGAGCAAAACTATATATATACACTCGCAAACTTCATCATAATCTGCAGTTCCTTCGCCATTGTCATCCAGAAGCGAAAACAGAAGAACGAAACCAACATAAAACTCATCCACTGGATCTTCCCGACACAAAAATCTCAACTTCGAAAATGTTATACAGCATGATTACATAAGAACTGGAACTACTCAAACATACACAGTTACTAACACAACAGAACAACAAGCTGTTGAAAACTTTCCTTCGATGCAGACACCAACCTTAGGAACCTTCTAGAATGCGGTGGGGAGACCGAGGGGTTTGGAGAAATTAACTGACGGAGGATCTGAAGCAGGACTGCTCAACAAGCCTGAATTCTTCAAAAACTGAAATTCATCCATGGATTGTCTGAAAACCCGGTTAGTTCTCCGCTTCGCCTTTGTTGATTCTGTCATGTTCATGTAACTCGGCCTCGCCTTGTTAGTTTTACTACTGCTGTTTTCGTTGCTGCCCATCTCATCTGAAACAAGGCCAGTGTTTCTGGAGGCAGGCGTGGTTGAAGTGCAGATGGACGAGGAAGCCGGGCTCTCATCCTGGTTCGTAAATTCAGAGCAGGGACTCGAAGAAGACCGAGTTCCACTTTGAGGGGGTTTTGCAGATACCCGAGTTGTTATATTGTTCTTCCTGACTCTTGCTAATGGAGGTTCGGGCGATTTCAAATGCTTGCTTGCAGAGACAGTGGCACAGCTCTTTGCCTCCATGGTTTCGGGTTTTGATTGCTGTTCCATAAGTCTTGTCTCCCATGGCCGAGCAGCCATCCACCGCTCCAACCAACTCCATCCCCAGCTATTCTTGTCAAACTCTTGGCTTTTGAGGTATGAGATCGAATTGTTCGTCTTCAGATTCGAGCTCAGGTTCGATTTCCATTGCTAAGAGAACCCCAAAATGAATCTTGCAGTGTTAGCTCATACGAACAAACAGAAATTTCCCCACAAGAATCTCCAGACAAAGGCATTTTCTCGGTACCTTTTGTGCGAGAGAATAAGCTAATGCACGTTCCCTCTTGAAGGCGCCTTCTTGTCTCTGCTGCAGCTTCGTGTTGATATCGCATACCGTTCCTTTGCTATCACACCATCCTTCCTAAAAAGTTGTAAACTCAGAAAACGATCAAACCACGAGTAAACGACCAAGAGAACCCTTTTTTAGTTTGGAACTTGCACAAGATCTACCTCGGCTTGTTTCAAGAGATCGGCCTTGCTCCGATGCTCCTCGAGAAGTTTCTGAATGGCTTTTCCTTCAATCGACATTCTCACACGACGTGCTCTAACACGGGCTTGCACCCGGACAAGGGCTTGCATGCACCTCAGTGTCACAGCCGCTTGTTTCCTTACTTGCCTTCCACGCACCAGAGCTTGCAGCCTTACTATTCCTTTCAACGCCCTCAACGCCCTTCTTGCCTAACTCAAAATAGTGTACACATGCTCAGTATCAATATAATGACAGGTCATGGTTCAAATTTCAAAATACATGCGTACTTGGAATTTTTCGATTTTCAGATTAGAAGGTTACATGGAACAAAAACACACTGTGACCGTTGTTCTTCAGATGAAACTTTGCTGAAAATTTCTCAGACTTGTCTGAAATTCTCTCAGCAACCAAAAAAAAAAAAAAGATTTCATAAGCAATAGACTGAAGAAATCGCAGAGTCTCGTTCATATTCATGTCACATCTCAATACCCTAGTCCGATAGATTCTTAAACGAAACCAAAAACACAAAAAGAGCCGTTTTTTCCTTCGTCTCAGAACCAAACAGGACTTACCAAGAAGCCACGGAACGCTGTCTGAATTCTAATAGCAGCCCATTCTTCCCTAACAGCTTTGAAATCCTTAGGTGGAGCTCTGACAACTGTTGCAACGGCTGCGGAGAAAGCATCAGAAGAATCGGAACACTCTGACTCAGACCGATGCTTTCCTCTGAAACCCTTCCATGTTGAGCCCGACAACCCTGAATCGCCTGAAGAACTCCTCCATATCTTCCATTTCTTGATCTTTCCGCTACTCGTTTCCTGAAACACAACAAAAAAAGATCAGTAAAAAAACAGAGACTTGCGTAAAAACAACAACAGCTCAGGATTACAAAAAAAACCGGAGGAAAAGACCGAAAGTGTTTACATTTCCGTCTTTCTCTGGTTTCTTGAGACCGATAAGGGATTTCACCCACTTCCCGGAAGCACCCATCTTTGCGGAAACAGAAAATAAGCCGAAAGTTTTGATCTTTATGGCTCCAAATGCACAGAAGAACAAGAAAGATGAGAGTTTTGGAGAACGTGAGAATGGTGGTGGGTAAATGGAGGAGAGGAGGAGAGGGAGTGGTGGTGTGGAGAGATAAAGAGCCGTTGGTAGGTGAGGAGTTTTGAAATTCGAAAAGAAAAAGGACTCGATAACTTAGGGTTTTGCGTCATTGTTTTTGGCACTTATTTACAGAGCTCTGCCACTGCTCCTGTCTCTGTAAACGGCATGTGTGAATGGGGGACACGGACAAGGAAAAGAAACCATGAAAAGGCACACAACCAAAACTTTTGGTTGCTCCTTTTCATTTCAAATGTCACTTGTCTTAGTTTTAAAATTTTTGTGATTGGATTCCAAAATTTGGATTTGGTACCAGTTGTTGATAGTTTATATCGGTATCAATTATAATGGATTTGGATAATAAATGAGTGAATTCGAAATTAATATAAAAATCCATAGGTTATATTATTTTTTTTCCAAATTAATTCATGGAATAGTCATCAAATATATATATATATATATATATATATATATAGGAATAAAATTGTTAGAAATTAAGTAGAAATCGAATAAAAAAATATAATAAAATAAATCAATGTAAAATTTAAAATTTAAATTAAAAAAAAAATACCCAAGATGTGATCAGAATTATTCGCCCGTATATAGAACTAAAAATTAAAATTATACCAATATATCAATAACAAAATCATCGTATGTAGTAGATGATGAGGGTAACATTTTTTTAAGTGAAAATATTTTGTATCAAAAATTAATTTTCAAATAAACTCTGTTTGTATAATTTAGAAACTATTTTTTTGCGCTTGCGTGGAGGTCTGATTAACAAATTGCCAAAGTGAAAAAATTAATGAATGCAACATAAATATTTATTAATGAAATGTTACAGAAAATAAAGAGAGAAAAAAAAAACAAAGGAAATTTAAAAAAGAAAGAAGAGCTTCCGCTGCCATGGAGGGGGGGGGGGCCTTTGTGCTTTCTATGGAAGCGTTGACACCAATGCCTCTCTTTTTTTTTGTTCACTGACAAAACCTTGAAGTCTCTTGCCATGTCCTTCTCTCTCTTTCCAATGTTTTTACTTTTTCACTTTTTTACATTTTTTGTTGTTACGGTAAATTATTATATTATAAAAAAGGGATCTGTCTTCTTCAACCGGGCTAATCGGTCAGAGGAATCCAATGTCGGTGGCTTCTAACCGGGAGAATGTGACAATTTTTTTAATAATATTCTTTGATTCCTTCTCGTTTGAGTTTGGATTTGAATTGAGTATCTTACAAAGTAATCCAAAAAAAAAAAAAATAAGTAAACTAACTAGAGGTCAAGTCATTTAGTCGATTTTAGTTTGATTAATTTTATGATTATCAATTTCCATTTTGTCTATATTTTCTTTTTATTTTAAATTTTGAATTGGATTAATTTGATTTAAAAGTATACGTGACAATTCATTTGAAATCTAATACTTCAATACTAAATATTATTATCCTTGTTAGCTGAATGAAATTAAGATTGTAAAATATTAATCTAGAGATTCTAAACCCTATGTGTTTATAAATCTTAATATATATTAAAATTGATTAATATGAATGCATGATAAAACATTACCAACAAACTCAGGAACAAATTTCAAGCCCAAGAAACTGAAACTTTGGAATGTGATCAAACATGCATATTACTTCCCTCGTTTTCTCCTTTGGTCAAAAGTCGCTGACTGAACCCAAGGTTCTCCTGTAACTTTTTTTTTTTTTCATAATCCAGAAGTTTATCGGGTTTTTGACCCGACTACATCTTCCAAAAGATCGGTAAAACACATATGAATATCCTTCCCCACACTTAGGATTTAAACCCAAGATGAGAACATACTTTGCATGTTCTTTACTACTAGACCACCCAAACTTGGATTCATGTAACTTATTTAATTATTTCTATTTATTTTTCATTAGATAATCTATTTTTTTATAAATATATCAAATTTAAGATTTATATCTAGTTTTGTTAAACAAATATTTATTTTTACATATTTTATTTTTTATTCTTTTTTTAGTATTTTAAATATTCGAGAAAATTTAAATTATATTGTTTTAAAATTAAATGATTCAGTAAAAAAAGTACGCTTTGAATTTTCCTCGTGGGACTCAATGCCTCAATCTACCACGTGGATAGGTACGTGCGACACGTGCTAATGCTATAGGATACATACGAACTTGGCTCTCTTTTTTCTCTCTATAATTTTAAAAAAAGAAGTAGATTTCTGCGTTCGGAAAACCATTTATTGTCTCATCTCTAAACCCTTTATAATTTTATTTTCATATATATTATTACATAAAAGGTTATACGAAAATTTTCGATATAATAAAAGGAAGTCAAAACGAACAGTTACATACAATTCAAATCATATCATAATAAATATCCAACTAAAAAATATAATTATAAATTTCAATAAAAAAACAAGTTAGTTATAAAAAAAATAAGTTAGAAATAGTGAAGAGATTTATACCTAGAGACAATATTTCAGTTTCATTATGTAAATACAATCGAGTAACGTATTTAAATGAAAATTTAACATACATTTGACTGGATATAATTTTTTAAAATTAAATTATCAATAATATTTTAATTGAATATAAAATTTAAAAATGAAAATATAAAGATGAGAAGTTGTTTTCACAAAATGGCAAGATGCTCAAATGACTTTTTTTTTAAATATAAATTATATAATCCATGGGAAATATGCTCAAATTGCTTTTTGCAAATAAAATAATGGCAATGCTGCGTTGGCGGTTCCTCAATTTTCACGTCGAAGACAACAGGAAGCCAGCAATGCAATTTTTTAACTCAATTTTTAATTAAAATAAAAACTAATTTTTATTCAACTTTCTAAAATGAAAATTTGCATTTTATATGAGTGTAATCGAATACTATACATACGTAACGATTCATTTCTTCATGTTAGATGAATACTGCGGGAAAGAACAATAAAATGGTGAAATCGAAATGAAGACAATAGAACCCGGATATAATCTTCTAGGCGCGTAGAACACTTTCCTAAAACGTTATTCCCTCCCCTACCGAGCAACGGAGAAACCCGAGAATACGTTTAGAGATACAAAGAAGATCCGCAACGAATGATTTGCTCCTCAAACGTTGCCCAAAACAGAAAAACCGAGAAAGAGGATGAACAGTAAAAGATGAAGAAGAAGTAGCAAGTTTCTTCTTCAAAAAGGCTCACAAATCTCTCAAGAACAATTAGATTTCGTATATCAACATTCTCTGACGTTCTTGGCTTTAAAAGCACAAGAGACATGATCAAAAGTTGTATCCATTTAGTAGTTTTCATGCGAAAGGCCGCATTTGTTCATATTACAGACATTTAACACGGTCCGTGTCGAATCTGACACGGCCGTGTTGCACCTAACACGGTCCGTGTTGCACCTTAACACGGTCCGTGTCAAATGTCTGAGAAAAACAGCATTTTCTCAGAGAATTAACACGGCCCGTGTTGAACCTTAACACGGTCCGTGTCAAATGTCTGAGAAAAACAGCATTTTCTCAGAGAATTAACACGGCCCGTGTTGAACCTAACACGGCCGTGTTTGTTACAAACACGGCCGTGTTACATGCCCGTGCAGAATTTCTGCACTTAAATTTCACTACTAAACACAAGTATATACTTTACAAAATACATGTATATACTTTACCAATTCATACTATATCATTTACGAATATATAACTCCTCCACCATATCCGTAATACATATAAACATGAATCACATGAGAGATTTATTAAACCCATCAATTTACTCTAAAATAAACAACA